AGCTTAGGGGCCTCCAGCTTTATGAGCATCTTTCAATTTATTAAAGCTGTAATTCTGTGCAAGGGATATATAGATCCCCCTTCATGTATTGAATTCTATGAGGGAAGTATGAGGCTGTGTTTGGATCTGGAGACTATCTGTTCCCAACTCATTGAGAAATTTTTCATCAGATGATTCTGATATGTTACTATTCTAAATTAATGAAAATCATATGTTAACTAAAAATAAGTAACACAGTGTTCAAATGAAATACAATTCAAGCGTCCTGGAAGGCAGCAACTGGATAGGGCTTTATTAATCTGTGGTTACTAAACTGTTCTTTTGATTTACTGTGCTGTCTGCATGCCTCTGACCACTCTTCCAGTACTAAACACCTCGTGGCAAGCTGGATGGAATGAATATGCCTTCATGGAATTTGCATTTGAAGTATTGCCTCTTTTTTCCCCAAAATATTTTTCTTTCCCTTAAAGCAGATAGGACCAGCTATGCTACATATAAGGATAATTTCTAAGCCTTCTTTCCCTATTTTCAGTGGAGATGGTTTGGGTTTTTTTTAATTATTGTTAAAGAAAAAAGCCCCTGTAGAGTTACAAATATGCACCTTCCATTTCCTAACACACAAAAAAATGACAGATAGGATTTCCTTCAGACAACTCCAGCAAAAGATGTTGGTAGACTGGAGTCAGGAGAAGGACTTGAAAAGGCAAACATCAAGTTTAGTAGTGAACTACTGTCACAATTAGTGGCAAGTCTGATATTTGTACCTTTGAAATGTGGTTTTAGTTTCTTTCCCAGTTAGCAATTCACAGTTCTAACAGTAAGAATTTCTTGTGACTTACTCCAGCAACTAAGAAGGTATACAAGCTTCAGTGATACCATATGCTAAATTAAATTGCGTTTGATAATACATCATTTTGCCTTGAACTTGTTATTTGTGTATACAATATTGTATTCTTACTTTACGCCAGTAATCTTGAAAATTAAATGTTTCTTACTCTTGCTTCTATAGTATTATATTTGGCTTGTGCTATTCCAAACACTTTATAAAGTGTCTCTTATTACTGTTGTGTGCACATGAAATTTTGTTTGCTATCTTATTTTGTTACGTATGCTCTAGTATTCAGTCATGGAAGTACTTTGTGAAATTTCATCTATTATAGCAATGGAATATGACCTGATTTATTATAAGAAGATCAGAGCATAGCTCAAGTGCTCAGTGCATTATCTTAAATGAAGCTTTGTCTCTGAGGGCTGCCATAGCCTTCAACTTTACCGTTATGTTTTAGCCACTGATTTCCCTTTAGAACACAAATGCCATAATAATGCTGCTCAGTAAATGTTTCTTCCATACTGAATAACTGCTTGTTCTGTCAAGGGGGTGTCAAGTTCTGTTCCCAACCTGTCTGTCGTGTTACTTCCTTTACATCTATCAGCAGAGGTGAGCTAAATAAGTTTGGTAACTCAGTTTTGGAGGAAGTGCAGATTGCAAATCAAGTCAAAAGGAAGGAAAGTAACTTTTCAAAGCTTGCTTGTTTTCATATTTTTGATTGCAGTGGTTCCCAACCCGTTTAGAGGAAGCCCCACTGCTGTTGGAGCCCCTCTTTGAGTTATGCGTGCCTTTCATGCCTCCCCCTGTGCTTGCACACCCTAGTCTGTCCTGACATTTTGCTGTGTACCCTGCATCTCCTCCCTTTAGAGCCACAGGCAGCTCCTTTCTCACCTTCTGGAGCACAGTTTGTCCTAAAACAACCTAAGGATGGGGAGGGACAAAAAAATTCAAATATTCAGGCTGAAGTGTAACCAGTGGGTTGTCTAGTGAGACTGAAGGAAGCTTCTAAGAGAGCTGGAGAAGTGCTCAGGTGAAGATGGCTGTGATTTGGAGATAAACGGGTTGCAGTGATTATCCAGAGGTTGATCGGGGATATCTGTCAGCAGTGGGTTTCACAGTTTATAATTTTACAAATGTTTTATTTTTTAAATTACTTGGGTTTATATTTTCTTTTTTTTTTTTCATGTATTATAGGAGGAGACAATTATTACTGGGGCATTTTACCAGCATAAGATCATAAAATTCTGCATGATGCATGATATGTATTCCTGTAACTTAATCATCTGGAGTGTTTATTTGGGGTGTAAATGCTGGAAACAATGACGTTTCTGAGCTGACTTACGCACTTTGTAATCAAAGCACTATGTGCTGTTTCTAAAATATCAAGTGTTATAAAATTGCTGCTAGTCAGGAAAAGAACACTGATAATGGGCTTATATTCTCTGTGTGCAGCTGCAGATGAGCACTGGTAGGAAATAGAGGGATACAGAAGCAGTGGCAGCTATATTGCAAAGATTGGTAACTGAGTTGTTGAATGACTGAGAAACCGGTACACTCATTGCAATGAGTGTGATTTTGTGTTGAGAATTATGGAGTTCCAGGTTTACATTTTAGAAAATACTTTAATAGTATAAAAGCTTTTATCACAGGTCATCAAAAATTGCCTCCAACCATCTTTCCAGAGGAAACTGTGTGTAACCTTTCTGTGGGAACAAGAGAAGTTATTTCAGTAGGACACATGTCAGGAGAGTATTTATTGTATATTTTATTTTAGCTAGTTGTAATTTAGCATGTAGGGAAAAAAAGGAAGTATCACCAAGGTGATTAGCAGGTAGATTCATCAAGTATGAACAAGTAGTGGGAGGCAATATTTATAGTTTGAGGACTGTCACTCTGAAGGCCAAGGTCTCTATGCCATGACATCTCTCCAGACATATGACAGAGAACTATGGCTTCTGCCTTTCAGAAATATTTTTGAGCATACTAGAGTTAAGGGCAGTGGTGTTTAAAATGTTGGGGATTTTTTAAAGTGGTTTGTTTTTGTTTTGTGGTTTTTTTTTGTTTTGTTTTGTTTTTTAAGAGTTTTAAAAAGGGTTTTAAAGGTTTTTTCAGTAAATAATTTGGTATTATTCCTGTGACGCTTCATAGTTCTAAAGTTACTAAATTGTTATCTAAGCAGTATTATAAGTTATTTTAAATCATGAGCTGTATATACAATCAGCTATGATGCTGCAAAGCCTAGTTGTTCTTGACTCTTCTTCTATGTGATAATACAAATATTTCTGAAATAAGCAAATAAATGCATAATACAAAGAGGATGATGGAGTATTACTGAGTTGTGGAAATGACCTGGATTAGATAGGACTTAGATCAAAGGGTAGCTAAAAAAAAGAACCTAAGAGGATTTGTCATTGGCAGTGGAACTAAAGTTATCCAAACCCAAATTTTTCAGAACTTTTATTAATAAGGTAAAATATAACATAAGTGAATACACTTTTGACTGCAGTAGCAAATACTGACCTGACATAATCAGTGCTCAAGAAAGTAGAACACTGCAGTACTTATTTATATTTTCAAGATACATATATTTATATTTCCAGAAAGCTACAAAGTCCTCAGAATACTTTACTAAATTATTGTGTGTTCAAGTATTTATGCTTAAAGTACTATGAGTAAAGCCTCTTTCTCACTTCAGCTTACTCAGCATCTGGAAAGAGAGTTCATAAAAATTACAAGGAAACATACTTAATTGCACAATGACTGTTCCACCAGAGAGAAAAGTCTTCAAAATTGTAATAGTGACCTTGGTTTTTATGAGCACTTTGAGAGCAGAATTACAGTTCTTTACAGGATCTTGGTGCTCTTGTAAAGCTGTTAAGGAAGGAATTTTAAATTCATGCTTTGTAATGTAGCAAACCTAGGCTAGCGCTTCTAGAAATTAGTCTAGAGGACAGGCTATGAACCAGGCAGAGCTCAGTAAATACCGAACATTAACCTCATATGTGTGCGTGCACTTGGGTTTAATAAAACTTCATCCAGGGCAGCAAAACAAATTAAGAGCCTTAATTAAGAGATTAAGAGATGTTGTTATTATTAGTATTATTATTATTATCGTTATTATTACTAAGACTTACATTTTTGCACTGTGTGACGTACAGTTTTTTAATACTATTTTAAAATTAGGCTAATGGGACAAATTTTGTGTTGGAGCTTTGTGTACTATATTTATAGAAATAATTGTAAGCACATTAATTAATACAGAATAGCAGTAAAATGTTTGATGGAGAGGATTTTGTTACAGGTTTCATTTCTCCATCCATTGAATGAAATGTCTGTTTTGTCCAGGAAGTATTTCCTGGCAGTGTTATTGACTGATGCATGAGCATTTCTACTGCAGAACCAGTAGCAGGACACTGTTATTATCCTCTGATAACAGCCTGTTCCAGTGGTTTTATCTCATAAATAAATGAATGCATAAGCGTGCATTGGGACGAATACACTTTAGGTAAAGGCCAGGCCAAGTAATAATCACAGGATTTGGTGTGACATTTTGCCAGCATTCACACGTATTCCTGACTTCTCTAACATTTGTTTTTTCAACTCATAAATATTTCTGCAAAGTAGGCACGCTGTTAAATGACGCTGGCTTCCTTGGAGAGATTATATGTTAATAAAATGTGAGACAAAAGATTTTGATGCATAATGTCTTTTAATTGGGGGAGGAAATTAAAAAAAAACAACAAAAACCAAAACAAAAACAACAAGTCTTTTAGAAGAGAGTATTCTGAAGAGCAACTCTTAATTGTCTACATTTCTGTTACTATCCAGTATACTCTTGCTTTGGGGAAAAAATACCCAACCAACACAAAAGAAGAAATTTACACTTGCAATAAGAAAAGTAAGTTTGAATGCCTCATGGAAGGGAGGAGGTGTGGGAACATGAGCATTCCTTTGATTATATTCAATGAAACCAGGCTGTGTACTTTGTAGAAACCAGGAGAAACTTCTAACACCTTACACTTCCTAATCCTGTTGCAACTTTGATCATTTCTCTTTGTAAGCAATAACTATAACTGGATCTAACAAAGGGAAGTGCAATTGCTCAGCTCAGATAACTTTTATATTTTGCAATATCTTTTTCATTCTAATGAAATCTTTCTCTCCATTTTAGACAAATATCACTTGCTGTGTCATAGCACATGGATTTCAGGACCGCCTGTGAAGAGGTAGGATCACATGTTTCTCTTTTGAAATAATAGTTAAATCAAAACCAATGAACTTTTAATCCTTTTTATATGCAAAATCCTTTTTTTACAATTTTTTTTTTCTGAAATGACAGGAATTATATAATCAGTTCAGCTGATCACTTTATGGTGACAGGCAGACTGTAGTAGAAGATGAAGAATTTGCCCAGGTGTATTCATCACTACCTGTTCTAATTTACCTCTTTAGGCACAATGTAGGTGCAGGTAGCTATGTTTTGTGTGAGCTTTGCTCTTAGTGAAGTGTTTATATCTGAAAGCCTGTACATTAAGAAAAGCATCAATGGAACCAGAAATCTGTCTGGAGCTGTTCAGCAAAATCAAGGGGGAAATGTAGAAGTATGGGAAAAAGGAAGGTGGGGAGAGAGGGGAAGCTGTGAAGATGGCCAAAATGAAAAGCAATGCTATTTTGATCTGATGAGGTAAAAGAGTTATTTTTTCTTAAAATAGGTATAGTTTTAGAATGTCATCTTATTTACTCAGTGGTTGTCTATGAACATATTGTTTTAATGCAGTTTCACAACCTCAGCAATTGAGACACAGTGAGAAACATTTACACCAAATTACATAATGATGCCGATGCATTATTATGATTGAAAAATCATGACAGTTACCTGTACACTGAGAATTGCAAACAATGTTTAGGAAGTTATGACTGCAAACAAAGAAATTGGCCATATTTTTAAGTGTGACCATAGGCCCGTGAAAAAATAGAAGTGGAGTGATGGGAACAGCACTAGAATCAACTGCGGCTAAAACCAATTTTAACATGAGAATCAATTGGTATTAATTAGCCAATTGATTCAGAAGAAAGAATTAGAAAGGAATTTAATAACAGGAGAGAACAGACTGCATGGATTAGTCTCATGGCATGGCCAGACAAACATACTGACCAGAAAATTATTTACATGTGAGCAACCCCTTTTTATCCTCTTAACCCTCTGTTTTCCCTTACTTGTTCCTCTCCAAATCACGCAGTCCTTTGCCCTGCCTTTGGTTCCTCCCCTAAACATCCTATAAAAACTCCTATGTAATCCAAGACTGCATCCCATAATGTGTACCACGCCCCCAGGTAGTGACCTGCACTCAGTTCCAAAGGTGCTCTGACATTTTCTTATCATGATGGGTTTCACACCTGGACACTGGGGCCGGAGCTGTTCTGGAACAGCCGTGTCACGGGACTAGACCAGGTGTCCCTTTTTCTGCATCCTTAATTTGTGTTCCCACCTGCCATTGTGCTTCTGTGTTCCCCTGTGCTTGTGGTGATGGGCATTCAATAGGCTGATGTCCCCTTTGGTGGAACTGTGCAGGGTGTTATTTGGACTTCCTCCATCTGCCATAGTCTGTCTGTACTCCTTTGTGTGCATTCAGACAAGATTTTATCATGTAACCTGATTGTTGTGAGTTTTATCTACTTCTTGTCTTCTGGAAGGGTTCATTTCTGTTTCTCCACTGATGTGGACACTGTCCTTTAAATTGCACCATCCATGTATTAAGTAATTACTTAATATGATTGTTCACTTTAATTCAGTATGAGGTGTAATCATCCATTATGTCAGGAATTTCAATTCCCAATGTATACCTTTCATCTATTGCTTTTAATATAGTTTTCTTAATACCTTAAAATTTGCCACACCCGTCACCAAAACATCTTCTAATATTTGAGCTTCTTATGAAAGCGATGATAGTGACTCAAGAAGATACCAATGTGGCACTACTGCCTTAATTAACTTGTGGTCCTATTCCATTGGCACATCTTCAGCAACTGTTTAGTCACTTAGCCACTGACATTTTGGTATTATTTTATTTATTTCAACTATTGACATGAAACATAAAGTACGTGTAGACTTTGCTCCACGTACTTTTGTTTAATTGGTTATCTAGCCAGCACATTTACAACTTTCAACCTTCTTTCCCCTCCATCCCCTATTGTATCAAAATCTCTATCATACTATGTATCTGGGAAAAATAACCTCTGTCTTCTACGCCAAAATAGTTACTAGGCAATTTTGATAATGGCAATAAAAGCTGGCATGAGACATCTTGGCTATTCAGTCTTCCTCTTCTTCCCCTCTTTGTTTTGTTTGCGGCAAAACTTCAAGCCAAGAAGGCAGAAGCCCAGGGAAATGGGAGATCTTGAAGCCGCCTCCCCCCTGAGTGGGAAGAGTGAGCTGCTGCTGCTGAGGGCAGCGGGGACTCAGAGTGGGTGGAGACTGGAGTGATGACACCCCACACCCCTCACAGACAAAGGCAGCCCCCAGGAGCATGGCAAACAGGGCATGGTGCGTCAGAAGGATGAGGCGAGGCACTTTGCAGCTGTTCAGGCAGGCAGAGTGAGCGGACAGGGCACAGTCCCTCTCCGGGGTCTAGAGCATATCTGAGCTAGTTGTCATCTTATTGTCCTCCATGAGTAGACTGAATAGTGGTCTCCACTTACATCAAAACCACCACCAGAAAGAACGTGGCGACCCAGACAGAGCTGCCACGCAGACATGCAGTGGTCCAGGTCTTGGGCTGCAGGGAGTGCCTGGGCCTGTCAATCCTGCCAGAGGGCAGCAGGGACAGCACCTGTGTGCGCTGCGACCGATCATCTGGGTGACCTGCTCAGCCTGGTGGCAGAACTCAAAGAAGAGGTTGAAAGATTAAGAATTATTAGGGAGTGCAAAAGGGAAATTGGTTAGTGGAGTAACACCCTAGCACCCCTAAAGCAACAGGAGGCTCCAAACGAGACAGGTAATTCCTCATCCTCTTGCTATCAGGCAGAAGGAGGGGACCCAAGACATGGGGGAGGGTGGAAACAGGTCCCTGCTCAGGGAGGCAGGAAAATACCCTCCTGACCTTCCGCACCTTCCATGGTGTCCCTTCACAATAGATACAGGGCCCTGGAACTTTTGAATGAAGCACAGAAAGATGAAGAAAATGAGTCAAACAAGGAGGAAGGTGAAGGTCCACCAAGGCAGAGTCACTTTAGACCAGGTATTAAAACCAATTATAAAAAAAACCCCAGAAGCATTGTTGCAGTGGGTGACTCCATTCTGAGGGGTGTCAAAGGCCCAGTATGCAGACCAGACCTGCTTCATAGGGAAGTCTGGTGCCTTCCTGGGGCCCAGGTAAAGGACCTCATGATAAAACTCCCCAATCTAGTGAGACCTAAGGACTACTGCACTCCCTTGGGTTTTTAGGTAGGTAGTGGAGATATTATCAGGAGAAGTCCTAAATCAAATGTGGTGGTTTAGGCCCTGCCGGGACCAGAGACCACATTGCTGTTGTCCCTCCCCCACACACAGCAGGTCAGGGTTGTTAGTTAAGCACAAACTCTGGGGTTGAAATAAGGAAATATTTAATACAACAGTGTGATAAAACAATCTGAACAACAACAATAGGAATAACAACAACAATAAACAGTAATAACAGTAAGCAAGACAAAAGATATACAGAGAAATACCTCAGTGAACACAACCAGCCCACAGTGCGTGCTTCCCCAGACCAAAGCCACAAAGGAAAGCTTCCCGTGCTGCCACGCCAGACCTGACATCAGCATGGTATGAATAACCTGGCTGGAGATCCCTTCCCCCTGCTTGGGAGAAACTTAATCCTACCCTAGCTGAACCGGGACATCAAGAAAGAGTGATTTCAGGGCCTTGGGGAGACTGGTTAAGGGGTCAGGGGAACAAATGGATCAATAACTGTGGTAACACCTGTGAAAGCTCAGGCTGGACTAAGGACCTCTAAATGCAAAAAGGTGCTGGTGATATCAGCCTATCTGAAGTGCACGTATACAAATGCTCACAGCATGGGTAACAAACAGGAGGAGATTGAAGCCACGAAGCAACAGGAAAATGATGATGTCCTGGCTATCACAGAAACATGGTGGGATGTCTCCCATGACTGCAGTGTGCCAATTTGATGACTACAAGCTCTTTAGGAGGGATAGGCAATGAAGGAGAAGTGGTGGGGTGGCACTGTATGTTAGGGACTGTTATGATTGCTTTGAGCACAAGTGTAGTGAAGACAGCGGAGTGTCTTTGCGTTAGAATAAGGGGGAAGGCCAACAGGGCAGATGTTGTAGTGAAAGTCTACTATAGGCCACCCACCCAGGACAGAGAAGTGGATGAAATATTCTGTAGGCATTTAGGATAAATCTCACCATCACTTGTCCTTGTTCTTGTGGGAGACTTTAACTTCCCAGACATCTGCTAGATATACACATGGCAGAGCAGTACCAGTCCCGGAGATTCCTGGAATGTGGGAGACAACTTCCTGACACAGCTGGTGAGTGAACGAACCAGAGAAGGTGCCCTGCTGGATCTCATCTTTGTGAACAGAGAAGGACTGGTGGATGATGTCGTGGTGGAGGCCGACTAGGGCACAGCGATCATGAAAAATAAGAGTTCTCTATTCTTAAAGAGGCCAGGAGAGGGGGTAGCAGAACTGTCATCCTGGACTTCCAAGGGCTGACTTTGACTTGTTTAGGCACCTGCTTGACAGAATCCCTTCGGAGACGGTCCTGAAGGGTATAGGGGCCCAGGAAGGCTGGGCGCTCTTCAAGAAGGAAGTCTTAATGGCTCAGGAGCAGGCTGTCCCCAGGTGCTGTAAGAGAAGCTGGCACCAGAGAAGGCCACCCTGGCTAAACAAGGAGCTTTGGCTGCAACTAAGGGAGAAAAGGAGAGTTTATGGCCTTTGGAAGAAGGGGCTAGGCGCTCACAGGGATTGCAGAGATGCTCTAAGGCTACGCAGGGTGGAAATAAAAAGCCCAGTTAGAAATTAATCTGGCTTCAGCAGTCAAATATAACACGAAATGTTTCTGTAAGTACTTACAAGTTCTCTAAGAGAGCCTCCATCCCCTGCTGTGTGCAGGAGGAAACATGGTAACTGAGGTACTTAATACCTTCTTTGCCTGAGTCTTTAATAACAGAATCACAGAATCATTGAGGTTGAAAAAGACCCTTGGGATCGAGTCCAAC